GGCACACTCCTGCCCCAGGGCCTTTGCACAGGCTGTGCCTCTGCCTGGGACAGTCTTCCCCAAGACACCTGTATGTCTCCAGCACCTCCTTCTATTCAAGTCTCAGCTCCGATATCTGCTCACACTGCCCTTCTTTTTCTCTTGCCATCAACAGTCTGTTTTGTTCACAGCCATGTCAAACCAATGCGCTTAATCATTGTACTCACAAACAATCATATTTGTAACAAGAGTCATTTACCAGGCGCTTACTGCGTGCCAGGCCCTGGGCCGGGGGTATGGGGACATAGCTGAGGACAACTGAGACATATCCCTGCCCTGGTGGGACGTATGGCCTGGGGGCAGGGAGGGAGATGGCCAGAATGAATAAAATAGGACATGTGGCCAGATGCAGCAGAGAGAGGGTCTTTTCCCCCATCAGCCTCCTGGAAGAGGTGGGTGGCATTGAGGCCCGAGGCCCGAGCTCCGAGATGAGAATGAGGTTTCTTTGTGGGGAGGAGGTGTAGGGAGGTGATGTGGGGAGGACAGCAAGCCTGGACTCATGGGGCCCCCGGGGGGGTGGCACGGGGAGGGGGTTGCTCTTCACGTTCAGAGCAATGGGCACCCTGGGACGTCTCAAGGCAGGTGACAGGATTTGATTCATGTCTCCCAAGGGAAAGAGCAGCTGTGTGGGTCTCCCCAGTTCACAGATGGGGAAACTGAGGCTCAGGGAGGTGGTGAATCACTTACCCAGCATCTCCGAATCCAGTATCTCCAACCAGGAGCCTGCAAATCCCTCCCTTCCCCCTACCTAGTGCCGCCCAGTTGCAGGCAGGTAAACTGAGGCACAAAGGTGTCGTCACTTCCTAAGGTCCCCGGGAACACAGTCAGCCCTCCTCCACTCGCCTTGCCCCTCCCCGATGCAGCCTCCCTGGGGGACTTTCTCATAGGGAGGAAATAGCAGCGGCTGGTTTCACAAGTGGGTGGCCAAAGCCTCAGTCCCAGTTTCGGTTTGCAGATAGCGTCTGGCTCCAACCGCCTGCCTGCCTGGCTGCCCACCGCAGCCACAGCCCGGGAAGGCCTGCCGCGCCACCGTCTGCCTGCGAGATGGCTCAACAACCGGGCAGCTCCGGCGAAGCAGCGCAACCCGGGGTTGGAGCGGGGAGGGGCGGTCAGGGGTCTGCGGCCCACGTGGGCGGTGGAGCCAGGGGCCGGGGAGTGCGGGGAGGGCCCCGAGCCATCCTCCCCACTGAGCTGGGATCACTCATTCAATCAACAGGCAACAATTACTTCACGCTTTGTTGAATTAGCACATTTTATTCTCCCAGGGAGCATGTATTAAGTGCTTACTGTTTGGCCGAGTGTGTCCCAGGTGCTGGCTCATTTGATCACCCCCCACAGCCCCCGTAGAAGGCAATGTGTGAGATTCCTGGGGCTGCTGGAACAAATGCCCATGAACCCTGCCTGGGTTTAAACCAACTTATTCTCACACAGTCCGGGGCTGGGGTGGGGGATGGGGTGGGGCAGCGGTCTGGAATCAAAGCGGTCGCCAGGTGTGTTGCTCCTGGGGACTCAGACAGAAAGCCCATTATTCCAGGCCTCTCTCCCGGCTTATGGTGGCTTCCAGCAGCCCGTGGGGTTCCTTGGCTTGTGGCTGCATCACCCGGATTTCTGCCTCCAACTCCACATGGGCTTTGTCTCTCGCTTTCTCTTCTCTGTCTTTTATAAGATACCCCGTCATTGCATTTAGGGTCCCCGGAGTCCAGGATGATCTTGTCTCCAGATCCATAACTCATGACATCTGCAGGGACCCTTGTAAAAACGGGACCAAATAAATTTGAAGATCGAATTGGACTTATCAAGCCATGCATGCATGGGGCAGCATTGCACCTTGCAAGTAGAGGGGAGCTCTGAGGAGCTGTACAAAACGGAAGGTTTTTACCGGAAGGAGGATGGGGTAAGACAGTTATCAGCAAAAGAAAAGAAAGGGTTATTCCATGCAGGGCCACCTTCCCTTAGGGAGAACAGCAGGGGGACTGGTTAGGTGGATTATCTCTTCTTCCCTTGCGGGGTGGGATGGAGAGGGCCCACATGTCAGATAGCTCACTGGTGCTGATCAGAAAATTCCCGGCTGACTGGTTAAGACTTACATTCTGGGGGAGGTTGAAACTGCAATTAGGTTAGGTATTAAGGCCCTTTGTGGTGACTTGGCTGAGGTGAAACCATTTTGGGCCCGTGGTTTTCTTTTTAACACTCTTTAAGGTCATGTTCCAAGGTTCTGGGTAGACATTGGGGGCCACCATCTCACATTCTCCAGGCAGGTATTATCAGTTCTACTTTAGGGGAAACTGAGGCACAGAGAGATCAGGTTGCTGATCTGAAGGGCTAGGACTTAAACCCTGGCGGTCGGGAGCCTGAATCTATTCACTTCACTGCTCTGTAATCACCTATCTACTGTGGGCCAAATCCTTGCCAGAAGCTGGGGACACAGAGGCAAACAAGAATTGGCAGCATCAGGGACATGACCTGTGAACCTCAGGCTGATGGATGTTCAGTGTGTTAGGGTGTGATCCTAAGATCAAGGGTCCCCCGAAGTGGGCTGCATGGTGTCCTCCAAAAGACATATCCACCCAGAACCCTGTGAATATGACCTTATTTGGAAATAAGGTCTCTGCAGATGTCATTAAGGTAAGGATCTCGAGATATGATCATCCTGGATTAGGGTGGACCATAAATCCAATGATAAGTGTCCTTATAAGATAAGAGAAAGGTGGGGAAGATCTGAGACCAGAGAAGGCCAGGTAAAATGAAAGCAGAGACTGGGGCCAAAGACTGAGTTTTTGGTATGAAGTGATGTAAGGACCCAGGTGAATTGTTTTCTTTTCTTTTTTTTTTTAAGATTTTATTTATTTATTTGAGAGAGAGAGAGAATGAGAGATAGAAAGCACGAGAGGGAAGAGGGTCAGAGGGAGAAGCAGACCCCCCGCTGAGTAGGGAGCCCGATGCGGGACTCGATACCGGGACTCCAGGATCATGACCTGAGCCGAAGGCAGTCGCTTAACCAACTGAGCCACCCAGGCGCCCCAGGTGAATTGTTTTCAACATGGACTCTCACTTCAGAGATTCTTTTATAGAATAGTCTCCCTTCCCCAACTGCCGTGATAGACCTTCTCCATCTTGCAGCAAATTCCTGACCTGCACAGGGTGTCTGTGGGCATTTAATTCCAGTCCATTGGTCAACCTGTCTCTCCCTGTGCCAATATCCCTCTGACTTAATTGCAAGCTTTGTCATGGGTTCCCATATCTGGTAGGACAGGTAACACCACCTGTTCTGTGTAAGTATTCTATTTGCAATTGTCAGCTCTTCCAGGTAAATGTTTGAATCATCTTATCAAGTTCCCGAGGGAAAACCCTTGCTGTGACTTTGATTGAGATGGTGTTAAAAGTTCAGATGGGGGAAAAAAACCCAAACTTTCAGATGGGGAGAATCAGCATCCTTTGAGCCTTAGCCTCCCCATCCATGAATATGGTACATCCACCATCCCTGTTGCTTCCTTGGGATCTCTCTCTCTCTTTCTTTTTAAAGAATTTTATTTATTTATTTGAAAGAGAGAGAGAACATGAGCAGGGGGAGGGGCAGAGGGAGAAGCAGACTGCCCACTGAGCAGGGAGCCTGATTCTCGGGCTCGATCCCAGGACCCTGGGATCATGACCTGAGCCGAAGGCAGACGCTTAACCGACTGAGCCCCCCAGGCGCTCTCCTTGGGATCTTTTAAGACAGCCATTTCTGTTTCCCTGAGGGGTTGAGAACACCACTTATTTCATTTATTTCTCTTTCCCATGTAGGGAGTCCTCCAACTGACCTTCTGTTTCACCAGGTTATCACTTCCCCCACTACATTCCTGGTATCACTGAGTTGCTTTGTTTGTTTGTCTGTTTTTGATTGGACCCATTTTCACATGGCCAGCATCTTCCCTTGTTGATTTGGGGGGTGCATATCAAGTTCATTTAAGCTCCTGGCCTATCTTGTCCTCCTGTTCTCACTCTTGATGGAGGCCACGTTCAGAGACTTGTCCTGGTGAAACGATGGGTTTCTCCAGATCTGGTCGTTTGGATTCCAGCCCATTTCCTCAGGGACATCAATGATAAGGCCAGCCCCAATCCCCCAGTCTCGGGGGATGGGATGAGAGCCCAGGTCCCCTAAAACTCAGGCCATTACTTCTCACTCCTCCTCGTTCCCTCTGTCTGACCTTCCCCCGCCCAGCCTTTCCCAGGAAGGCAGCTCATAGGACGGTGGTCACTCTGTATATTGCAAGTGACACCCCAGGGTGAGGAAAGAGGCATCACTGCCCGGGTCATTCCAGCCTCGCTCCCAGCAGGTGTGGGGGTGTGCACCACCTCTTCCCGAAATGGCAGGGAGATGCCAGGAGCAGAATTCCGAGCCGCCTCCTTGAGGCTGCCTGGCGCCTCTGTCTCAGGCCTGGGGCATTCTCAGGGTTTTCTCGGCATCCCCTACTCTAGTGCCTCTGGGCTGGTCTCCAGGAAGAGCTGAGATTTCCCTCCATCCTGGACATCAGGCCTGGGATCAGACCCAGGAGCCCAGAGATCATTTTAAAATGCTTTGTGTTATGGAAAATTTCGAATTGCCCTGGAGTCAAGAACGCACAGTGATCCCCATGGGCTGTCCTGAGACTCACAGTGATCCAGGAGGCCCTGACCCCATTTCCATGACACTCCTTCCCCCTCGACCTTATTAGGGCACTGCTAATCCCAGGGTCATGCTCCTCACCCGAGATCTGAGATGCTTCTCTCAGGACAAGCCCAGCTCCAAAATCACAATCACCCTTGAAACCCTCTCTCTCTCTCCCTGTCTCTCCTTATATCTCTGTCTCTCCCTGTCTCTCTTTATCTCTCTTTCCCCCATCTCTCTCTTTCCATCGCTTTCCTAGTCTCTCCCCCATCTCTCTGTCCTCTCTCCCTGTCTGTCTCATCTGTCTCCCACTGTCTGTCTGTCTCTCTCCCAGGTGGATTGGGTGCCATGTCTCACCTCCCCCAACTCCTGCATCTACCCCTGGGCCTCCAGTCTGAGTGGGAAGACTGTCCAACACTGTTGAACCTCCAGTCAATGGTTGACGGGCTGAACTTCGGAATGAGGCCAGAGTTGTACATGCTGGGCCCAACCCAGGGCTTGGCTGCCTTGCCCCGCCCATTAATCCCCATACTGACAGCCACATTGCTGAGTCCCCAGAGCTACCCCCAACCAAAGCTTCCCTCGAAGGGCCATGAGCTCCCCCATTGGTCACCCTGAGTCCAACCTCCTGAAGACCCGGGGACTCGGGGGCCTCAGGACACCGGCCTGGTCTCCTCAACACCCCCAAGATTGTTCTAGAATAGAAGCAGCACCACGAGTGGACCTCGTCAAGGGGCAGCTCTGCACTGGGCATGACTGTGCCATGCAAGCAAGGCTGCCCTGTAGATGAACAGCTCAAGCATGTGGACGTGGTGCGATGCGCGATCTCTCCATCTGTGGATTGCCCTCAGCAGAAAGAAAATACATACAGCAGAGAGGATAAAAGATACTAAATCCAATCCAGGATTTACTTATCCCTCCTTGATAGCACCTACTGCACCCCCCCCAACCCACCCGGTCCCCATGTGGCCAGGGGGTTATGACCTCATTGTACAGCTGGGGAAACAGAGGCAGCGTCTCTGTGTGTGGCTTTGACAGCTGTGATATCTCTGTTCCTAAATTGACTGCTTTCATGAACTCTTTCCTGTGTTTACGTAACAGTGTGCTCGGGTGTATTGCACAAAGGCTTTGTATGTAGCGCGTTAATATGTACATGATTGAAAATACAGATGTGTTTTATTTTGAAGTGAGAAAAAGAACATGAACAGGCATGCCTGGACAGCTAGACTATAGTAGAGCATTTTTCATCCTTCCGTAGCTATGACCAATCACACAAGTTCCTGGAACAGAAGACTTTGTATCAAAGCATTTGGATTTTGTTATGATGTTGCCTTTTCCCAATAGACTTAAAATAAAATATCAAATAACTATTTTAAAGGTCAGCTTTGTTTAGGGCATAACTCACATACAATAGAGTACAGCTGGATGAGTTTTGACAAAGGCAGACAATCCTGAGACGATCAGTCTGGATAGATTTCCATTACCCAGAAAGTCCCCTTGCAGCTGATCCCCTCCTCCGGGTCTACATTAAGTAATAAATACCGGATGAACACATTTGCCTTTACCAACTAGAAACAGTGAGTTATAGATTCAACGGGTAGGGAGATGGAGATGCCTCATGCCACGGTCCCCCTGGGCTGGGGTGAAGGTCTGCCTATGGATATTGGCAATTGGCCAAAGTCCCATTTTATAGCCAGTACTACTGAAGCCAGAGACAAATGGCCCAGAGGGTCCAGTGGCCCCGATTCCAGCCCCAGACCCTGGGCCTCCATCGTCTCACCTCAAAATCGAGGATAAAAAGGAAAGGTGGGGGGCGCCTGGGTGGCTCAGTCATTAAGCGTCTGCCTTCGGCTCAGGTCATGATCTCAGGGTCCTGGGATCGAGCCCCACATCGGGCTCCCTGCTCTGCGGGAAGCCTGCTTCTCCCTCTCCCACTCCCCCTGCTTGTGTTCCCTCTCTTGCTCTCTTTCTGTCAAATAAATAAATAAAATCTTAAAAAAAAAAAAAAGGAAAGGTGGGTGTTGCTATGGACTGAACGTGTCCCCCCAACATTCATAAATGAAAGCCCTGATCCCCAGTGTGATGTGTTGGGGGGAGGCTTGGGGAGGTGATTGCGGGGGAGCCCCTGTGATGGGATTAGTGCCCTTAGAAGCAGAGACACAGGAGAGCGGGCTTCCTCTCCCTGCTTTCTGCCATGTGAGGACACCGGGAGCAGATGCGTGTCCACAAACCCAGAAGCAGCCCTCACCAGACACCAAATCTCCTGGCACCTTGACCTTGGACTTGCCAGCCTCCGGAGCTGGGAGAAGTCCATGTTTGCTGTGTAAGCTCCCCATTCATATAACGAAGATTTGCTGCATTGTGGGGTCACAGCCCTCAGCTGGTAGCTTTGTCCTTCCGAATCTCAGTCTCCCTGTCCGTAAAACGGGGATACGCCCCCGTTGGGGGCTTTTGTGGCTAGTAGAGGTAGTTCCCAGCAAGGCTCGGCTGGGCATTTTTACGCCTTAGCAGCTATGATGACTGTGGTTGTTACTGTTGCCATCCCAGCCCTGGTTCTCAGTCCTGAGAGTCCCCAGCTGGGCAGCCCAAAGCTCTGCCCTCTGCCTCCTGACTCCACCCAGCAGCTCGTGGTCTCATCTTCTCCCTGCTCTGTGTCCTGGGAGGTAGCCATGGCAATGTGGAGAGGAGGGTGCTTTAGGCAGGCAGGTGGCTCAGGAAATTCCTGTGCAGAGGCGGGGCTGGGTGCTGTTCATCTCACCTGCCGCCCCTCCTCCACCACCACTCTCCCCCGGCCCCCTGGCCAAGGATGTGCTCAGACTTTTATCCTTCCGCGTGAGGGCGGTTGAGGGCTCCACATCTTGCCCAACTTGCCAGGCGACCCTGGCCATCCTAAACTTAGCCTTGACTATCTGCTGGAGCGTGAAATTGTCAAAGGGAGCTGGGGGTGGCATGAAGCCAGCCCCTGAAATCATTATGTTCCCTCTCACCCCAGGACCTTTGCGTACACGGTGCCCGCTGCCTAGGATTCTCTGTTCCCTGTTTGTACCTGCAAATCTCCTCCTCCAGGTCTCTGGCAAATGTCGTCTCCCCCAGAAAGCCCTTCTGGACCTTACTCAGGGGGGTCCTAGCACTGAGTATCTCCCTTTGGCAGGTCTTCTCCGAGTTATAATTTTGCATTTATGATGATGACTGCATTAACATCCATCTCCCTTGTTGATGGGGAGCCCTGGGCAAGCGACGGTTGGAGTGCTTGGCATACAGTAAATATTCAATAAAGAGTGATGGAATCGAATAGTGAATTCAAAACTGTTTATTGAATGTCATCTTACATTCAATCAACATCTCCCCTGAGCCTTTCAAGCATCCAGGTGCTGGGGACATGCTATGAATGAAGAACCCCCCTCCTTCCTGTGGCCCAGAGCCTCTTGCTGACATCCTAGTGAAACTCTTGAATGGTGCCATTCTTGTCACCCAGGCTCTGTTCCCCAGAGACACATGATGCGTTTATGAGCTCATCATCCGACCTTACTTGGGCTTATCCCCAAGATGAGGTCCTGGGGAAGACAAAGATGGTGAACGTCAGCGCTAAGATGCATCAGGCCCTTTCTCTGTGCCTGGCCTGAGATCCCCTCAGGACCTTTACCACCTCCTGTCGGGAAGACATCATCAGAGGAGAGGCAGATGTGACAAATAGCACATCTCATTTTCTTGTTCGTTTGCTTTGCGGTTTTTAGTATAAGTAAATCCCATACAACATTTGGGATATACTTATACTGAAAATGTATCGCTTGATCGTTGAGCTCGCCGAGTAGACACCATAAGCAAAGCTTACTCGCCCGAGTGGAAAAAAACTTATGGACAAGAAATTATCCTCGAAATTAAATGGTGGCAGACATGCCCAAGGAATACTACGGGAGTTCGATCCGTTTAGGAATCTTGTGATAGATTAAGGCGTGGTGATGGCAACCAGTGGGCTACAGAACAATACTGGAACGGCGGTAATACGAGGAAATTGTATCATCATGTTAGAAACCTTGGAACGAGTATAAACAATGGGTGTGAGGGGTGCATGGGTGGCTCAGTTGTTAAGCATCTGTCTTCGGCTCGGGTCATGATTCCAGGGTCCTGGGTTCGAGCCCCGCGTGAGGCTCCCTGCTCTTCGGGAAGCCTGCTTCTCCCTCTCCCTCTCCCCCAGCTTGTGTTCCCTCCCTCGTCTCTCGCTGTGTCTCTGTCAAATAAATAAATAAAAGCTTAAAAACAAAAACAAACAAACAAACAAACAATGGGTGTGTTCACCGGAAGAAATCAACTGCTTCCACATGTTCCTCTCCATAGCACCTGTTGTAGTAACAACATAAAAATCAGGTCATGTGCAAAAAAAAAAACCCCCAAAAACAAAAACGTGTTGGTTGTTTGTCTGAAATTCAATGTTACCTGGGTATCTTGTATTTTATCTGGCAACTTTGGTCCATCATCATGCCCATTTTACAGATAGGGAAGCAGAGGCTCAGGGAAGTTAAGTGATGTGCGCAAGGTGTCACAGCCAGGGATGAGCAGAGAGAGAATGCGAGCCAGACCCTGGGACCCAACACCTGCGGAGCTCAATTCTTGCCTCCAAAGAGCAGGTATGAGCCTGGGGGTCCTCAGTGAGCACAAACCTCGCCTTGCCTGGGCCAAGAATTCTTTCCACATTCCCACTCCTGGTGCCGGAGGCAGCCGCACAAGAGGGATCTGCAGGCCGAGGGCCCTCTGCAAACGTCTGCAAAGGGGCCCGTCCCCCCGGCCATCTGGACTCTGGCATCCGGAAGCTGGTCAGCTGGTCCCCTGTAAACGGCCGGTCTCATGTCACTGTAAACAGCTGGTGCCCAGAGTTGTTGTCACAGTGCCCAAGTCTCAGTGTGACTGCCCTGTGACTCGATACCCCGCCACCGGCCCCTGTCACTTGAAACTCGGTAAACAGTGTCCTGAGAATGGGCAGCAGTGCCCCGTTTGGTCAGTGCGCTGCTTGAGCCAGGGGCTGGGTCCAACTTAAATGGGGTCCCGACACCTCATGAGCCATCCTCACTTGCTCTGTTCTAATACTCTGTAAACATCGAATCTTGATACCTGTTATTTGTCAGTGGTCAGATGCTGTTAGTGTCTGACTTGCTGTACTACGTCTTAGCTGGCTGACCTGGAAGCACTTTGAGCAGAGTTCCAACACTTTGTAAACAGTGAGTCCTGATACTTTCTTTGTTGCCCGTTGAGCACCTTATCCAGGGGCTGGCCGACGAGAGCTCTGGCCATAACCTAGAAGTGGCTTTTACACTTTTAAATGGTTGGAAACAGACCAAAAGAGGGTTTCGTGACCCATGAAAACGATCTGGGGCGCCTGGGTGGCTCGGTTGGTTGAGCGACTGCCTTCGGCTCAGGTCATGATCCTGGAGTCCCGGGATCGAGTCCCCGCATCGGGCTCCCTGCTCGGGGGGGGGGGGGGGTGGGGGGGTCTGCTTCTCCCTCTGACCTTCTTCCCTCTCGTGCTCTCTGTCTCTCATTCTCTCTCTCTCTCAAATAAATAAAATTAAAAAAAAAAAAGAAAACAATCTGAAATTCAAGTTTCAGTGTTCACAAATAAAGTTTTATTGGGACACAGCCACGCCCACTCATTTGTGCCTGTGTATGGCGGCTTTCAAGGGAGCAGTCGAGTGGCTGAGAGACTGCATGCCCCGCGAAACCTCAACTATTCATTATCTGACTTTTTATAGAGAAAGTACGTCAACTCCTGCTCTGAGCTCCTGGGCAGTCCCCGTTCTCTGTACTGCACTTCGTATCCTGTTGGTCATCTACGGTCCACAGTGTTCATATCCTGAGCAAACTACGAGCTCAATGGTCTGCAGTGTTCACATACTGGGCAAAGGTGTCCCCTCCCTTTGTAAGAGTCACATTGAGCCTGAAGCGCTGACATGCTCAGGGCTGCAAGTGTTAGGACTCTTGACAGCAAGTTGATGTGTCCTAACTGTGTCAACACTTCATGCCGGGAAAGGCAACCAAAAGGAGACCCAAAGGGTAACCGAGAATTGGGCAAAGGAAAAAAGAAGGATTTGCCACCCGGGGGCAGGGCCTTGAACTCTGAGCCAAAGAGCTGGACAGTCTCCCGAGGGTGATGTGGAGCTCTGGCCACGTGGGAGCAGAAGAGGAGAGTGCTCTGCTGGACACAGGGATACTGCCTCTCTGTACCTTGGATTTCCCATCTATGCTGTTGGCCGACGTAGCCAGAATGAGGAACCTTCTAACCTACTCTGGAAGGAAAGGGGAAAGATGATGCTGGGAGACTCTCCCATTTGGGGGAGGGGCGCTGTGCCCCCCCTTTGGAGCTCCCATTACAGAAAGGAGGTGGATGACGGCCACGAAGCCACTAATATGTCATAATTAGGAATTGCCAGAAGCACAAGAGAGAGGCTGAGAGAATGGGGCAGCTTTGGTCAGGGAGGCTGAGGGGCCTCTGAAGAGGGAAGAGTTGAACTTAGATCTGAGGAGATCTAAGAGGAGAAGGTAGGAGTCTTGTGAGGAGTGAGGGAAGGACTATCTGAGCAGAAGGAAGAGCAAGTGCAAAGGCCCTGAGGCCAAGCCACACAGGACCTTGTGGGCTTTGCGGAGGGTATTTAAGGGATGGGATCTGAGCCTTGTTTCAAAAACCCTCATGGCTGCCCTGGGGCTGGAGCACTGAGACACCAGCACGAAACCACCATTACACTGCCTGGGCCTTGGAATATCTCTGGTCCATTCCACAGATAAACCCGACTGGTATGGAGCTGCTGTGAGCCAAGGCCAGAAAGACCACGGGCCTGGGCAGG